AAAAAAAAAAAAAAAAAAAATTAAAAAAAAAACCAATTCTCTACCCCGAGGAAATGCTCTCTCTCCGAATCGCAACGTGACGCGGGTTGTAACGCCTTCGATTTCGCAGACCGCGTTAGCAATTTACGCTACATCGTAAAACTACGTACGACAGAAGAAACCCTTATCTAGTTTGCTGTGCAAATAGCGTCGACCGTAGCCGAAGTTCTACGCGACTTCGGATCGTCACTTGGCGAATTGCAGCGAATATGAAGCCGCCGACATGCGGCTAATTGAGAAATTCCAAAGCGCTACATTTTACCTGGCCACGTGAAACGGACGCGTTCATGGATAAAATTTGATTAATAAGCAACGACGAAAACCGTACATTCTTCATTTAGCTTCGATTATAAAATACATGGTGGTGGTATTTAGTGTCAAAAGACGGAGGTGTTGTCGGCGTTTCGAAAATATGTTGCTTCAATATACGACATCACAATACATAATATATAACATGACAAAAGTGTATCTAACAGAGTCGTATTGTACCCTGAATTCATTGAAAAAAATGCGCAAATCGGCGTATAATGCGAATGAGAAGAACCGTAAAAAGCAATGATTTCCTTCCTTCTTTCAATTCGTCATTTCTAATCATTCAACATCACGTAATATCTTTATCTTCGAGCCGTTAATACAATTAATACATATTAATACAATATCATTAATACAATTCTGCGATTTTGATTAATAAAATATTTCCTTTTAAATATAATTGCTAATGTTAGTACAAAAATTTCTTTTAAGTACAAATAAATGTACATCTTTCATCCAAATTTATCAAAAAGATCATAAAACTACGTATTTCCTTTTAAAACTTACTATTTACAAATTGCATTAACAGAATTTCTTGATGTTCCGTGACGTTGAGAGAATTTTCGCAACTTTAATCCAAATAATACATCACGTCGATTCAGAATCAATTCATTCTAATAATCGTTTGTTTACCGTGTTTTATCTCAAAGAGTTAATTAGGAGGAAATCGGACCGTTTCTCTCGACATTCGCCCAGCATCATTGCGTAGATTATGCAAGAAGAAATATCCTTATAACCGTATGACACAGCAATAGAGGGAATATATATATATATATATATATATATATGTATACGTTTATATAGTGTTCTCTATAATACCCTACAATCGAAATGATCCAAACATTAAATACGTTCTTCGATACGCGACAATTCGGCGAACACCGTTATCTTATTAACGTCTCATTAGAAGAGGACTCGGCGTGTCATGGAAAATGTGAAATACGATCTCGCCTCCGTGAGAAAATGCTCGACGATGGATAACATGGTATAAATCAACGAGTCACATATGTTGCTTGGGCGAGGCCCCGAAAAGGCACCGATGCTCCCGTAACGCGATAACACTTTGAATCCACCTTGATCTACGTGCGCGATCTACGTGGCACATCGTTCGACCTGCGCCTCGCGCGACCGAGATCCATTTACATCTATTATTCGTTTTCTTTCGGCCTGCCTCTCTCATTTTCAATATCACACGCGTCACACGCGCCGTACAAACGCAATTCCATTTAGATTATATATACACATATGATAAATCGAGCCGAAAGTAAAACGCAAAATAGAGCTGTCAGATTCAAAGTGTTAAGTGTCTGGCGAAAGTAGGGTATAAGTACAAAGTGTGTTTTGTGTGCTGATCGCAATCCGTCGGATCTGCGTTGCCGTGTTATTAATGTTCGTTCTAGTCCTCACCTCACGCATCGCATTCCAAATTTTCTAATACAAAAATGTCGCTTCTCATGAATACGCTCGTACGCCGCGCGTTTTACTGTTTACTGATTCACGCAACGTGGCTCTCGCACGTACAAAATAATTGACTATAGCTACTTATCATTAAGAAAAGGTACGTTAGTTGTGTCGCATTCGGTTTCGCAATTATTTTCTTTT